CACTGACGATGTTCGCCCCAGGAGGGGGAACCGCGTCAACGTAGGTGCCTGTGGACTTCCAGGAAGCCATCTCTGCATCCATAGCTACCTGCCACTGAGAGGAGTAGGGACCCTCTACGGCCTCCGCGTAAGAGCGCGGAGTCGGGATGTCTAGTGCATCCGGGTCTCCCTCAGGAGCAAGCAGTACAGACGCGAGATGAGGTGAAGCAGCCGCCAGACACTCTAACTCCTCCTGCCTGTCCTCTAGGACGTCCGTGCCAAGGGCACACTCACCCCCGACGGACGGAGGACAGACAGACGCAGACTCAGCAACAAGACTAGCAGCGTAGTCTAGACGACAGCGAGCAGCAAAGTCAACGAGCTCAGCGACAAGAGCAGACGCAGCAGTGGACTCAAAAGAGGGGTCAGTGACGACAGTAGCAAGCAGACGCGTGACAGTAGGAGTGGCAGCACGAAGGGAGTCCGACTCAGGGCCGGCAAGCGCAGGAAGAGAGGACTCAGGAGGAGAAGGCAAAGGGGCACGCAGAGGAGCAGTGGACGGACGCAGAGACATCCGGTGCATGCCAGGGACAGGAGGAGGACGCTGACGCGAACCGCGACCACTAGCGCGAGCAGGACGAACAGGCGACGCGGGACGAGACGCAGGCTCACGACGCTCAGCAAGACCTCCAGTAGGACCAGTGTAAGGAGAGGGAGCAGGCAGTGGAGAGGAAGGCTCCAACAGTGACTGCGACTGGACGGGCTGTGGACACTCTACCGGAGGAGAAAGACCAAGAACCTGCTGCAGAAGCGGAACGAAGTACGGCCGAGGCCGCGCGGCAGCTCCAGACTCAGCAGGGACAGCACCAGCACCCTCAGCGGCAGCACCAGCGCCACCAACACCTCCAGCGGCAGGACCTCCAGCAGCACCAGCAGCAGAACCACCGTCAGGACAGACAGCAGCAGACTCAGCACCAACGCCCTCAGCAGCCCCAGCTCCAGTAGGACCCGCAGGCGTAGCACCTCCGGGACCGGCGGCACCAGTACCCTCGACGGTCGAAGAAGCTCTAGCTCCAGCAGTACGCCTCCAGCGGCGAGCAAACCACTCGCGCAGCTCCTGTGGAGAGAGGGGCTCCCGGCGAGACGCAGCAGCAGGAGAAACCCCAGGCTCAGCAGCTCCAGACGCAGCACCCCCAGGCTCAGTAGCTCCAGACTCAGCACCCCCACGCTCAGCAGCTCCAGACGCAGCACCCCCAGGCTGAGTGGGCGGCGGGGCCGCGGCTGAGGAGGCGGCGGGGCCGCGTCGGAGCGAGCAGCAGGGCCGCTGCTGAGCAGGCGGCGGGGCCGCGTCTGAGCAGGCGGCGGGGGCGCGACGTAGCGGGCGGCGGGGCCGCGGCTGAGCAGGCGGCGGGGCCGCGTCTGAGTGGGCGGCGGGGCCGCGGCTTAGCAGGCGGCGGGGCCGCGTCGTAGTGGGCGGCGGGGCGGCGGCTGAGCAGGCGGCGGGGCCGCGTCTGAGTGGGCGGCGGGGCCGCGTCTGAGCAGGCGGCGGGGCCGCGTCGGAGCGAGCAGCGGGGCCGCGGCTGAGCAGGCGGCGGGGCCGCGTCTGAGCGGGCGGCGGGGCCGCGTCTGAGCAGGCGGCGGGGCCGCGTCGGAGCGGGCGGCGGGGCCGCGTCTGAAGGGGCGGGCGGGGCCGCGTCCGAAGTGGGCGGCGGGGCCGCGTCTCAAATGGCGGCGGGGCCGCGTTCGAAAGGGGCGGCGGGGCCGCGTCTGAAAGGGCGGCGGGGCCGCGAGGGAAGGGCGACACGGAGGGTCGCTTGAGAGAGAGAAAAAAATAAGGTTAGCGCGCCTCGGGGCGCGCTTCGGTGGGCCCTAGGCGAAGTTCCCACAGGGAACCCGCTCTATACCATGTGAGAATAGTAGAACAGGAATGAATGACTAAGTGAACGTTTGGTACAAATACAAACCCTAGAGAGCTGTACCCCATATGTGCTACCCCACTATAGCCTACAACAGCTATGTCATATATATCTGACACGGGCACTGCTGGACTCGCCTACGTGAAGTCCGAGCTGCTGAAGAGACACACGTGCACAGACCTGGGTGAACTGCGCAGCTACCTTGGCTTGCAGATCACTCGGGACAGAGCACGCCGCACCATTACCTTGACTCAGTCACACATGGTGCAGCAGGTCCTTCAGCGCTTCGGCTTCACGTACTCCTCGCCTCAGGCCACTCCTCTGTCTACTCGTCACTCGCTCTCAGCTCTGCCTTCGGATGAGTCCATAGAGTCGAGTGGCCCGTACCCAGAGCTTGTTGGCTGCCTCATGTACCTGATGACCTGCACACGACCTGACCTTGCATACCCTCTTAGCATTCTTGCACGCTATGTTGCTCCTGGGAGACACCGACCAGAGCACATGGCTGCAGCGAAGAGGGTATTGCGCTACCTGTGCAGTACGTCGGGCATGGGGCTAGTGCTTGGAGGGCGGAGTCCAGTGGTACTTACAGGTCACGCGGACGCTTCTTGGGCTGACGACCAGGCTACGCAGCGGTCGTCACAGGGTTACACCTTCAGCCTTGGCTCCGGCTCTGTCTCGTGGCGGGCTACTCGCTCGTCTTCGGTTCTCAGCTCGAGTTGTGAGGCTGAGATCTACGCAGGGGCCATGGCTGCACAGGAGCTTCGCTGGCTCACCTACCTGCTGACTGACCTTGGAGAGCCGCCTCGTTCTCCTCCAGTGCTGTATGTAGACAACAAGGCCATGCTGGCCTTGTGTCGAGAGCAGCGTCTGGAGCACAGAACGAAGCACATTGCTCTTCGCTACTTCCTTGCTCGTGAGCTACAGCAGCGTGGACAGTTGCGGCTTGCGTACGTGGCCTCTGAGGCCAACACTGCTGATGTGTTCACCAAGGCACTCGCGCCTTGTGACCATCAGCGCTTCTGCACCCAGCTGGGTCTTGTGCCTGTCTTGCCTCACTTGCTCTCCTCTTGACTTTACTTGTACTGTCACATATATATACCTGCTCTTGCTTGTCTAGCTTTATATATATGTGTGTACTCCTGCATGTGAACTGGCCTTGTGGCCTTGCTCTTGTGCTCGGACTGTGTGGTGACTTTGTGATCCACCCTGAGCTTTGCTTTGCTTTGCTTGACTGGTCTTGTGACCCCTTGTTCTCCCCCACTTTGCCTATGGGGGTGTGTCAGAACATATATGTAGCTTATGCTGTTGTGTAGGCTACAGTGGGGTATACCATAGGGGGTACAACCCAATTAGGGTTTTGCTATTTGTACTCACTTCACTCATAGTTCATTCATTCTCGTTCTATTTTCCACACTCACTCCTCGTCGTTTCCCCCAACGATTTCTCCCTTGCAGACTCTCCACATCGATGTGTGGGGCCCAGCCCGCGTCCGTGGACAGGGCCGCGAGCGATACTTTCCGCTGGTTGTTGATGACTACTCCCGTTACACCACGGTCTTCTCCTTGTGCACCAAGGGGGAGGTCAATGATGTATTGATTCCTTGGATCGGCGCTGTCCGTCTCCAGCTCCTAGCGGTTCCACACGGACCTTCGTGTCCTGCGTTTGCACTCTGACAGAGGTGGTGAGTTTGCCTCCGACCTCGTGGGGAGGGCATCCGCTAGTCGTTCACGCTTCCGGCTTCTCCGCAACAGAATGGGGATGCTGAGCGCCGCATTGGCTTAGTCATGCGGCTGCTCCCCATTTTCTGTGGCCGTTTATGGTCCGGTACGCTGCGCATCAGCTCAACCTCTGGCCCCGTGTCTCCTTGTCGGAGACCTCGTCTACACTGCGTTGGACGTGGGTGCCAGAACATTATAGCTTATGCTTTTGTGTAGGCTTTAGTGGGGTAGCCCATATGGGGTACAACCCAATTAGGATTAGTACTTGTACCCAACTCTTTCATTGTGCATTCATTCTCGTTCTAGGTTTCTCATGGTATCGAGCAGGTTCCCTCGTGGGAACTGTTCCTAGGGCCCACCAATTCGATTTTGTTTCCTGCCCGGAGCGCGCTTAGTTCCTGCCCAAGTCGCGCTCCCCTCTCTCGACCCTCTTGCGCCGCCTTAGCGGCCCCGTCGCGTCGCGGTAGAGGCCCTGTCGCGTCGCCCTCGCGGCCCCATCCCGTCGCGCCGCCCTAGCGGCTGCGTCCCGCCGCCCTAGCGGCCCCGACCTGCCGCCCTAGCGGCCGCGTCGCCTACTCCTGCGGCCCCGACGCCGCCCTTCCCGGCCCCAACCTGCCGCCCTAGCGACCCCGTCGACTACCCCGCGGCCCCGGCGCTGCCCTTCCCGGGCCCCGACGACGCCCTTCCCGGCCCAGCCCTGCCTCTGCTGGCCCCGTCGCCTAGCCCTGCGGCCCCGGCGCCGCCCTTCCCGGCCCCGACGCCGCCCTTCCCGGCCACAATCTGCCGCTCTGCAGCCCCGTCGCCTACCCCGCGGCCCCGGCGCCGCCTTTTCTCGGCCCCGACGCCGCCCTTCCCGACCCGGCCCAGCCTCTGCTGGCACCGTCGCCTACCTTGCGGCCCCGGCGGCGCCCTTTCCCGACCCCGACGCCGCCCTTCCCGACCCGGCCCCGCCTCTGCTGGCCCCGTTGCCTACCTCTGCGGCCCCGACGCCGCCCTTCTCGGCCCCGGCACTGCCCTTCCCGGCCCCGGCCCAGCCTCTGCTGGCCCCGTCGCCCGCCCTTCCCGGCCCGGCCCCGCCTTCACGCGGCCCCGCCGAGCTAGTGCCGAGCCGCCAGAGCCACCCGAGCCGCCCTAGCCGCCGCGCCACCTTAGCCGCCCGAGCCGCCGTACAGCCGAGCCGCCCGAGCCGCCCGAGCCGCCGAGTCGCCGGGCCGCAGTTGCCGCCGAGCCGCCCGAGCCGCCCAAGCCGCCGAGTCGCCGAGCCGCCAAGCTGCAGATCCTGCCGAGCCGCCGAGCCGCCCGAGCCGCCTTGTCCGGTAAGAGCAGCGCCTCTGTTAGTGCACTGCCCTTACCCCACTGTTCGCGCTACTAGTCTACTGCTGTCATGGCTACCCCTAGTGTCCTTGCTTTTGACGCTGAGGGTCGGGCCATTGACTTTGACGTCTGGGTAGATGACCTACAGCTTTTCCTACAGTGCGATAGGGCAAACGGTCTCTCCCACTTTGACCTCACCTTTGGTGCCTCTCCTGCCCCTGCAGCTGATGCTGACGCCACTGTTCGCTCACACTGGGCCACACACGATGCTGCTGCACGTCTTGCTGTGCGTCGCCACGTGCCTACCTCTGAGCGTGCTCACTTTAGCCAGTACAAGAGTGCTCAGACCCTGTACGATGCTGTAGTTGCACGCTACTCCTCCCCTGCCACTGCTGCACTGAGCTGCCTCATGCTACCATACCTCTTCCCTGACCTTGCTGCCTTTCCCACAGTCGCTGACCTCATTACGCACCTCTGCACTAGTGACACTCGCTACCGCGCTGCGCTTCCTGCTGACTTCTGCGCGAAGAACCCCCCCCCCCCATCTACATCACTCTCTACTACATCGTCACCCGCCTCCCTCACTCCCTCCGCGTAGTCAGGGACCACTTCCTCCCAATTTGCCCCACCACTCTCACCATTGACCTCCTCGAGAAGGCCCTCCTAGCAGCGGAGAAGAGCATAGTCGTTGTAGGAGCCTCTTGTGGTGACCCGCGCACCCCCATCTTTGAGGGGTGTTCCCCCTCCCCACTTTTGCCCTCTGTTGCCTCTGCTACTGCGGCCGACCTCGTTGGGCTTGAGTCGGTCATACGGCGTCTACCCCTAGCAGGAGACGCCGCCCTGGCAAAGGCAAGGGGGGCAGGGGCGCTGGAGGAGCTAGCAGGGGCGGTGGAGGCGGCGGTGGAGGCGGCGGAGGGAGTGGGGGTGGCGGTGGGGGTGGTGGTGGGGGTGGAGCTGTCGGTGGCAGCAGTGGAGGCGGAGGCGGCGGTGGTGGCGGTGGGAGCGGAGGTGGCGGAGGTGGCGGCGGTGGAGGAGGCGGTGGCGGAGGAGGTGGAGCTGGTCGGGGTGGCGCTACGCAGAGGGTCGGCTCCGGTGGTGGTCAGCGCCAGCAGCAGCAGCACGAGCAGCGCACTCGTGACATCCCCCCCCCTCAGCAGCTCCGTGAGTGGTACGCTGCACGCCAGCGGGGTGGGGGTACTGGTCCGTGCACCTACGTCCCACGCACCGGCGACCGCGCTGGTGAGCAGTGTGGGGGTGCGCACTCCACCCAGCGCTGCTTTGGTCGCCTGACGGACGCTTAGCGTCACCAGTTCCGGAGGCCACGGAGATCCCCCGCTGGGGTGAGCTGTCTAGGGCGGGAGTAGCTATCTTTGACCTTGACTTTGATGCTATTCTTGCTGCCATGTATGCTGTGACTATTAGTGATGAGGGTGACTGTTACCGGTGTTTCCCGCCCGACCCGGGCATTGAGACTGCTGCTCTAGGTACTGATGAGGCTGCTGCTCTAGGTGCTAGCGAGGCTGCTGCTCTAGGTGCTAGTGCGTCTGCTTCCTTAGGTGCTGGTGAGGCCGCGCTCTTAGGTACCGAGTCGGCTTTGGCCTCCCTCACCTTCACCCTTGACTTGGGGGCTTCTCGCTCCTTCTTTCGAGACCGCACCACACTCACGCCGCTTGGTCGGCCAGTTGCAGTCTCTCTAGCAGACCCCTCTGGGGGTCCTGTCCTTGCTCACTTCTCCACTGTCCTCCCGTGTCCGGCAGCTCCCTCTAGCACCCTGTCTGGTCTTTACCTCCCCTCGTTCTCTACGAACATGGTGAGTGGTGCTGACCTACACGATGGGGGAGTTCAACAGTTCACTCCTGTGAGCCAGCGGGTGACCCACTGCACGGACGCTCAGACGGGCCGACACTTGGCCACGTTTACTCGTCGGCCAGGGTCGAGCCTGTACACATTGACCATTGCGTCTCCTCCTATCCCTGCGTCTGGTCAGGTAGCTGCGTTGGTTCAGGTGTTTGCTGCAGCGTCCAGGTCTGGTCTTGAGTCTGCCCCCTGCTCGTGTCGCCTCCTGTCTCACGAGACTCTCCTGTGGCACCACCGCCTTGGTCACCCCTCCCTGCTTCGTCTCCGAGGCATGGCCTCCCGTGTCCTTGTCTCTGGTCTTCCCCGGTCCCTCCCTCCGGAGCCTGGCCCTACTTGCGTCCCCTGTGTCGAGGGACGGCAGCAGGCTGCCCCTCACTCCTCCTAGTTTCCTCCGACAGAGGCCCCGCTGCAGACGCTTCACATGGACGTGTGGGGCCCCGCTCGCGTCCGTGGACTGGGCCACGAGCGCTACTTCCTGCTGGTGGTTGACGACTACTCGCGTTACACCACAGTCTTCCCCTTGCGCACCAAGGGTGATGTCACTGAGGTGTTGATCGACTGGATCCGCGCAGCTCGTCTCCAGCTCAGGCAGAGCTTGGGCTCGGACTTTCCTGTTCTACGTTTGCACTCTGACAGAGGCGGAGAGTTCTCCTCTTGCCTTGTGCGAGCCTACTGTCGTGCACGAAGCATCCGCCAGACCTTCACGCTTCCGGACTCTCCACAGCAAAATGGGATTACTGAGCGCCGCATGGGCATGGTCGTGGACGTCGCCCGTATGTTCATGATGCATGCGGCTGCCCCCCATTTTCTGTGGCCGTTTGCGGTGAGGTACGCGGCGCATCAGATCAACCTTCACCCCAGGGTCTCCATGCCGAAGACCTCCCCAGCCTTGCTGTGGACGGGGAAGGTTGGCGATGCGTCTGCGTTCCGTATCTGGGGATCTCGGGCGTTTGTCCTTGACTTGTTTGCGGACAAGCTGTCCCCTCGTGCAGCTCCTTGCGTCTTCCTTGGCTTCCCCCCTGACGCGCCTGGGTGGCAGTTCTACCACCCCACCTCTCGCCGTGTTCTGTCCTCCCAGGACGTCACGTTTGACGAGTCGGTCCCCTACTACCACCTCTTCCCCTACCGCACTCGGTCCCTCCCCCCGCCGCCGCTCTTCCTCGTACCAGGTCCCCCCCCGGTAGACCCCCTCCCCCCTCAGGGTCCAGCCCCTTCACGTGTGTCCCAGGTAGACGCAGTCGAGCCTGTCGAGGTCACTGGTGACTCTGGTGCTGCTGAGGGTGCTGAGCCTGGGGTTGCTTACTCTGGGGGTGCTGAGCGTGTGGGTGCTACGCCTGGGGGTGCTATGCCTGGGGGTGCTGAGATCGGGGGTGCTGAGACTAGGGGTGCTGAGACTGGGGGTGCTACGCCTTCGGGTGCTGAGCCTGGGGGTGCTACGTCCGGCGGTGCTGGGCTTGGAGGTTCTCCGGGTGCTTCGTCTCGGCGGGTTCCACTCTCTCCACAGGAGCTGCGCGAGTGGTTTGCCCGGCGCTTGAGGCGTGCTGCTGGAGCTGGATGGTCTTCGGCTGCTGAGGGTGCTGGTGCCGCGGGTCCCGGAGGCGCTCGTACTGGAGGTACTGGAGCTGCTGGGCCGGCGGGTGCGACTGGAGCTGGAGCTACTGAGGGTGTTGGTGATGAGGCTACTGCTGTCGGTCCTGGAGGTGGTGCTACTGTAGGTGCTACTGGTGCTGGTGGAGGTATTGGAGCTGGAGGTGCTGTTGGCACTAGTGCTGCCGCTGGGGGTGCTGGTGCTGTCCTTGCTGTGTCTGGACTCGCTGACCGGCCTCAACCGTACCTCGTTCCGCTCCTTTAGCAGGTTCTTGGTCTCCCGTTTCTACTGGTCCTCCTCCTCCCTTAGAGTGTCCACAGCCTATCCCGTCACAGTTACAGTTACGGCCGGACTCCCCACTGCCTACTCCCTCTCCCTACACTAGTCCTCCTGGAGGTCTTGCTGAGTGTGGTGAGCCTGCGTCTCGCCCTACTTTGCCTGTCCATCCTGCTCGCACTAGTGGTCGTAGCTCGCGTCAGCGTCCTCCTCCTGTCCCTGGCACGCACCGGATGTCTCTGCGTCCTTCCACTGCTCCTCTGCGTGCCCCTTTGCCGTCTCCTCCAGAGTCCTCTCTTCCTGCTCTTGCTGACCCAGAGTCGGACTCCCTTCATGCTGCCAGTCCTACTGTCACGCGTCTCCTGGCTACTGTCGTCACTGACCCTTCTTTTGAGTCCACTACTGCGTTTGCCCGCGTTGCTGAGCTCGTCGACTTTGCTGCTCGCTGCCGTCTAAACTACACTGCTAGTCTTGTTGCTGAGTCTGAGTCTGTCTGTCCTCCGTCCATCGGGGGTGAGTGTACCCTTGGCACGGACGTCCTTGAGGACAGTCAGAAGGAGTTCCAGTGTCTGGGTGCTGCTTCACCTCATCTCGTGTCCGTACTGCTTACCCCTGAGGGAGACCCGGATGCACTAGACATCCCGACTCCGCGCTCTTACGCGGAGGCGATACAGGGTCCCTACTCCTCTTAGTGGCAGGCAGCTGTTGACGCGGAGATGGCTTCCTGGAAGTCCACAGGCACCTACATTGACGAGGTTCCCCCGCCTGGGGCGAACATCGTCAGTGGCATGTGGATTTTCAGGGTGAAGCGGCCGCCGGGTTCTCCGCCTGTCTTCAAGGCGCGTTACGTGGCTCGTGGCTTCTGTCAACGACAGGGAGTTGACTACTTTCAGACCTTCTCTCCCACCCCGAAGATGACCACTCTTCGGGTACTGCTACACATAGCTGCTCACCGTGACTACGAGCTTTACTCTCTTGACTTCAGCACTGCTTTCCTGCAGGGCAGCCTGCACGAGGAGATCTGGCTGCGCCGCCCACCTGGCTTCACTGGGTCTTTTCCTCCTGGCACCCGACGGAGCCTCCGGCGGCCAATCTACGGTCTCCGCCTGGCACCACGTGAGTGGCACGATACACTGAGGACTACACTTGCAGCTCTTGGGTTTGCTCCCTCTACTGCCAAACCGTCGCTGTTTCTGCGCACCGACACTTCTTTGCCGCCGTTCTACATCCTCGTGTACGTCGACGACTTGGTCTTTGCCACAGCTGACACTGCTGGACTCGCCCACGTGAAGTCTGAGATGTAGAAGAGACACACGTGTACAGACCTCGGTGAACTGCGCAGCTACCTTGGCTTGCAGATCACCCGGGACAGAGCACGCCGCACCATTACCCTGACTTAGTCACACATGGTGCAGCAGGTCCTTCAGCGCTTCGGCTTCACATACTCCTCGCCTGAGGCCACTCCTCTGCCTACTCGCCACTTGCACTCAGCTCTGCCTTCGGATGAGTCCGTAGAGTCGAGTGGCCTGTACCCAGAGCTTGTTGGCTGCCTCATGTACCTGATGACCTGCACACGACCTGACCTTGCATACCCTCTTAGCATTCTCGCACGCTATGTTGCTCCTGGGAGACACAGACCGGAGCACATGGCTGCAGCGAAGAGGGTGTTGCGCTACTTGTGCAGTACGTCGGGCATGGGGCTTGTGCTTGGAGGGCAGAGTTCAGTGGTCCTCATTGGGCACGCAGACGCTTCTTGGGCTGACGACCAGGCTACGCAGCGGTCGTCACAGGGTTACACCTTCAGCCTTGGTTCCAGCTTTGTTTCGTGGCGGGCTACCCGCTCGTCTTCTGTTCTCGGCTCCAGTTGTGAGGCTGAGATCTACGCCGGGGCCATGGCTGCACAGGAGCTTCGCTGGCTCACCTACCTGTTGACTGACCTTGGAGAGCCGCCTTGTTCTCCTCCAATGCTGTACGTAGACAACAAGGCCATGCTGGCCTTGTGTCGAGAGCAGAGACTGGAGCACAGAACGAAGCACATTGCTCTCCGCTACTTATATATATGTGCTCCTGCATGTGAACTGGCCTTGTGGCCTTGACCTTGTGCTCGGAATGTGTGGTGACTTTGTGATCCACCCTGAGCTTGCTTTGCTTGACTGGTCTTGTGACCCCTTGTACTCCCCCACTTTGCATATGGGGGTGTGTCAGAACATTATAGCTTATGCTTTTGTGTAGGCTATAGTGGGGTAGCCCATATGGGGTACAACCGAATTAGGGTTAGTACTTGTACCCAACTCTTTCATAGTGCATTCATTCTCGTTCTAGTTTTCTCCGTGGGAGGTTGGCGATGCGTCGGTGTTCCGGGTCTGGGGCTCTCGTGCTTTTGTGTGCGGTACCTTCGCGGAGAAGCTCTCCTCCCACGTCATTCCATGCGTCTTCCTTGACTTTCCCCCTGACGCGCCTGGCTGGCAGTTTTACCACCCCACCTTGCGCCGTGGTCAGCCCTCTTAGGACGTCACGTTTGACGAGTCGGTTCCCTTTTACCATCTCTTCCCCTACTGCACTTCCCCTCTCCCCCCCCCCCCCCGCGCCACTCTTCCTCGCACCAGGTCCTCCTCCGGTAGACCCCCTCCCCCCTCAGGGTCCTGCTCCCTCAGGTGTGTCTGGGGTAGACCCATTCCCCTTGGCTGAGCCTCTCAAGGTAGCTGTCGACTCTGGTTCTGCTGGGGGAGATGCTGCTAGGGGTGTTGCGTCTGGGGGTGCTGAGCCTGAGCGTGTGGAGCCTGGGGGTGCTGAGCCTGGGGTTGCTAAATCAGAGGGTGCGGAGCCTGGGGGTTCTGAGTCTAGGGGTGCTGAGCCTAGCGGTACTGTGTCTGCTGGAGGTCCTACGGGTGCCTCGTTACGGCAGGAGCCCCTCTCTTGAGCTGCGTGTGTGGTTTGCTTGCCGCACCCGCCTTCGGAGTGGCGGTGCTGGAGCTGGGGGGCCTAGTGCTGGAAATACTGCAGCTAGAGGCGCTGGAGCTGCTGGTCCTGGAGGTGCTGGCGGTCCTGCTGGAGCTGGAGGCACCAGAGGTGCTGGAGCTGCTAGTCCTGGAGGTGCTCGTGCTGGAGGTAGTGGAGCTTTTGAAGCTGGTGGTGCTGCTGGTACTTGGGGTGCTGGAGGTGCTGACGGTCCTGCTGGAGCTGGAGGTACCGGAGGTGCTGGAGCTGCTGGTCTTGGAGGTGCTCGTGCTGGAGGTACTGGAGCTGCTAGAGCTGGTGGTGCTGCTAGTGCTGGAGGAGCTGGAGGTGCTGGTCTCGGAGGTGCTCGTACTGGAGGTACTGGAGCTGCTGGAGCGGGTGGTGCTGCAGGCACTGGAGCTAGAGACCCTGGAGCTGGAGGTGCTGGCGCTGGGGGTGCTGGAGACCGTCTTTTATTAACCATACTCCACCTCTACTGTGTCCACCGCCTGACCAGTTGCAGCTACAGTTATAGCCAGCCTCCCACTGCCTGCTCCATCTCCTTACACAGAGCAAACACACTC